CGGGCAAAAAATAACGATTTGACTTTATAATCCGGGTGGTGGTTCTCCTCGGATATAGAGATATGTTTATAACAACGAAAAGTATCACCTGTTCGCTTTTTACGGTTATTGCGTTTTATTTCCATTATTATTTTTCCGTTCTTTTTCTCTTTCTCTGCTTTTTTCTTTCTATATACGCGGCGCGGTACGGCACCCATTACAACCAATCATCTAGAACGCATAAACAATCGAAGGAACCTGCGCAATAACCGTAAACTAGGGGAAAACGGCCGGCATAATGCGTCGTTACGACTCCGGCTCGATCCTTTTTCCTCCTCTTTTTATTTATTATCATTATTGTTTTTTTTTGTTTCGTTGATTTCGAATCGTTTAGACATCATGGTGAATATAATTAAAAAGGTGGTCATAAAAATTCCAAAGAGATGCGTATGGAGTGTTTAGACTAGAAACCAATTTGCCTGATTGCTAATTGTTGATATTGCTCCGACTGCTTCGGGGGAGATATCCCGGCGAACAAAAGGATGAGGGGAGCGTTTCTAATACCAATTCCACATCTACAACAACCCCTTTTAGAAACAACCCGACATTTGCGTAATTTACTTTGTCTTAATAATTTTTATCGAAGAAAGAAACGTTCTTATCAACGGCCATCGATCTAATATGAAGTTATAACTCAGCGTTAAGGATAACGAGGATCGTCAGGAGCTCGGTTGGTCATAAAAACGCTCGTCGCGCCGCCCGCGGCGCCTCCTGAAACGGGGATCCCTTGATGTATGTCACTCATTTTTGTGGATTGGCGATTTTATCGGACGATGAGAAGAAATCTCCTCGTGTAGATGAGAAGACAACGAAAAGAGTCTTTTTCTTAAGATCTACTAAATTATCATCCATATCTTTTTTGGGGGTTAATTTATTTCCGGTCTAACTTCATCAATCTAGTCCTTTTTTGTGTTATCTCGATTTATAGTGATTCGGCTGAAGATGGTAATTTTTTCGAAATCGGTCTCGTTTATATTAATACAAAAATGTTGTGTGATTGGGTATAAAAATAAATTTTAAATCGAAAATAAAGAGTGAAATTTTATCTCATTTCTTTTCATTCTTGAGATATTTCCCTTTAAACTCATCAATGTTGGAGCTTTTCACAAAAATTAAATCTTTTTCGGTAATTATCTCAAGAACTAAGTGGAATACGACGAAAATTTATTCTTCTTTTTCGATTTAAAATTGATTTTTCTACTCGATCAACTCATAAGATTCTCTTTAAACTTGATTATTAATGAGCACCATTCAAAAAAGTTAAATAAAACGTGAATTTTATTAAATCATTATTTTTCTTCACCTCTAAATCCGTTAAAATTATTTTTTTGTACACTCCATCACTATTTTCTGGTACAAAATTGAATTTTAAATCGAAAATAAAGAGTGACTTTTTACCGCATTGCTGTTCGTTCTTAAGATATTCCCATTTAAACTCATCAATGTTGGAGTTTTTCACAAAAATTAAATCTTTTTCGGTAATTATCTCAAGAACTAAGTGGAATACGACGAAAATTTATTCTTCTTTTTCGATTTAAAATTGATTTTTCTACTCGATCAACTCATAAGATTCTCTTTAAACTTGATTATTAATGAGCACCATTCAAAAAAGTGAATTTTATTAAGTAACTCCCTTTTTTCACCTCCTAATTCGCTAAATTTATTTTTTCAAAAACTTTATTACTATTTTCTGGTACAAAAAACCCAACGTTTGGGAACGTCATTCAGATACACCTGTATATAAATATACCATAAATTTTAGTACGTTTTTAAAATTATTAATTTTTCAAAAAATTTTTCGAACAATATTTGCTTACAATGTGATTTTAAATCGATTATTTTAATAAAAAATTTCGATATCTCTACTAGGTGGCGCTGTATACTGACATATATAACATATATTTGACATTTTTGAGGTTATCTCAATAATTATTAATTGTATCAAAAAATTTTATAGACAATATTTGTAGAGAATCCAATTATACACACCTTTTAATAAGAAAATTTTTTTAAAAATAACCTAATTAAAATTTCCCTGTGAATAGTACGTTTTTGAAATTATTAATTTTTCAAAAAACTTTTCGAATAATATGTGCTTGAAATTTGATTTGAAATCGATTATTTTAATAAAAATTTTCGATATCTCTACTAGATGACGCTGTATACTGATATATATAACATATATTATAACATTTTTGATATTATCTCAATAATTATTGATCGTATCAAATAATTTTATAAACAATATTTGTACAAAATCCAATTATAAACAACTTTTAATAAGAAAATTTTTTTAAAATAATCTAATTAAAATTTCCCTGTGAATAGTACGTTTTTAAAATTATTGATTTTTCAAAAAATTTTTCGAACAATATATGCTTAAAATGTGATTTTAAATCGATTATTTTAATAAAAATTTTCGATATCTCTATTAGATGACGCTGTATACTGATATATATAACATATATTTGACATTTTTGAGGTTATCTCAATAGTTATTGATCGTATCAAAAAATTTTATAAACTATATTTGTAGATAATCCAATTATAAACAATTTCTAATAAGAAAATTTTTTTAAAATTACCTTATTAAAATTTCCCTGTGAATAGTACGTTTTTAAAATTATTAATTTTTCAAGAAAATTTTCGAACAATATGTGCTTAAAATGTGATTTTAAATCGATTATTTTAATTAAAATTTTCGATATCTCTATTAGATGACGCTGTATACTGATATATATAACATATATTTGACATTTTTGAGGTTATCTCAATAATTATTGATCGTATAAAAAAATTTTATAAACAATATTTGTAGATAATCCAATTTTAAACAACTTTTAATAAGAAAATTTTTTAAAATAACAAAATTAAAATTTCCCTGTGAATAGTACGTTTTTAAAATTATTAATTTTTCGAAAAATTTTTCGAATAATATTTACTTAAAATGTGATTTGAAATCGATTATTTTAATAAAAATTTTCGATATCTCTACTAGATGACGCTGTATACTGATATATATAACATATATTTGACATTTTTGAGGTTATCNAATCTTTTTATACGATCAATAATTATTGAGATAACCTCAAAAATGTCATATATATGTTATATATATCAGTATACAGCGCCACCTAATAGAGATATCGAAAATTTTTATTAAAATAATCGATTTGAAATTACATTTTAAACATATATTGTTCGAAACATTTTTTGAAAAATCAATAATTTTAAAAACGTACTATTCACAGGGAAATTTTAATTGTGTTTAATTTTTGGAACAACATATGCTTAAAATGTGATTTTAAATCGATTATTTTAATAACAATTTTCGATATCTCTACTAGATGATGCTGTATACTGATATACAGGGTGTATCTGAATGACTGCAACAAACTTCAAGGGGTGATTCTTTAATGAATTTTAAGGGTACTTTGATATATGAACCATGGGCGACTTCGGCCCCCTTAAAGAGCTACACCCCTCCAAAAATGGCGGAAAATTTTGGTTTAATTTTTTTTTCTCACAAACTAAAAAAAAAATCATTTAGTATTTTAAAATCACCCTGTATATGACATAGTTCTCATACACTAATTATACAGGGTGTATCACGTAACTTTTTCGTTAGAACTTTTCCAGGTTCCACTACTCGTAGAGATTTGAAATTTTAGTAGCATGGATTGTTCATTTCGAACTTTTGATTTAAAATATTTTCAAGATGGCTGCCACTTTCGGTCTACCGGAAGTAGACTATAATTTCGTTATTTTAAATGGAATGCTATAGTTTTTATTACACCTTTTAATTGTATGCGAAAAAATATGTTGACTTTGATAAAAGTTACTGGTACCTAACATTTGAGACACCTGTATTATTATTATTTCTGACATATATGACACAGTTCTGATTCATTGATTATATAATTATGCTATAAATCAATGTACAGCATCTTGACAACTTAACAGCATCTGAAGAGTAATCGTGCAAATTTAGAGCGTTTTTGAATGAACATTGACTGAGATATGGGGTTAACGAACCAGTTACGTGAGACACCCTGTATAACTATACTACAATTAATATGGTTTTTGCGTACTGAGATGTTTTACGCAATAGTTATACAAATAGTGATGGTATACTAACGCACTGAAAGTATACTACTGCTACCTATGAAGAGTAGTAGCCAACGTTGCTAACGGCCAAATATCTACAACGAAGCCCAATAAAGGTAAAACGCAATAGAACTACTGCCTCGGCTAGAAGATGCTACATCGCAACCTTATGGCTACAGAAGACACAAGGTTGCAAGGAAAGATGAGAAGAGAATGGATGAAGGTAAGACTGCAAATCAGTGATTATAGAAAAAAATTTAAGTTTTAAAATGAGATAATTTGAAGTTTCTAGAAAAATGTTTAAGTGTTAAGCGCCATCTTTTGATTGTATTAGAAATTATATTAAAAATTAATTTTTGATTAAATTATTATTAATTAAGTAATGTTGTTAATTTTTGCAATAAATTTGGTGATTAATAACAAATTATTTGTAAAAATTTAATTATTTGTAAAAAATGAGATAATTTGAAGTTTATTAAAAATTTTTGAATGGTGAGCGCCATCTTTTGATTGTATTTGAAATTATATTTAACAATAATTTATTAATAATTAAGTAATATTATTAATTTTTGCAATAAATTTGGTGATTAATAACAAATTATTTGTAAAAATTTAATTAATTGTGTTTTTAAAACGATATAATTTGAAGTTTATTTCAAAATTTTTAAGTGGTGGCGGCGCCATCTTTTGATTGTATTTGAAGTTATATTTAACATTAATTTATTATTAATTAAGTAATATTGTTAATTTTTGCAATAAATTTGGTGATTAATAACAAATTATTTGTAAAAATTTAATTAATTGTGTTTTTAAAACGTGATAATTTAAAGTTTTTAGTAAAATTTTTCACTCACCAGATCGATATCGATAGTATATTGGGTGGCAAACACAAAAACCGTTGGAGCAGCCGGAAACGTCCCATATAAAAACCCATACGTGCTCAAATCCGTGGTTTCAGTTTCATTCGATCCTGGTTTAAAAATATTTATAACTTGCCGCGTCACAATCGGCAAAACTAACCTAAAAAAAAATATTTAAATGTCATTTTTTTAAATTTTGAGGTTATGTTAATTTACAATTTGCAAATAATTAAAATCCCAGGAACGACCAACGTAGCGCCTCGTAATTTATGAACTTTCCCAACCATCCGTAATCCCAATAAAAATAAAGCTGATGCAGAAAACGCCGATCCCAAAGCCTTCATTTAACCAAATAAAAAGTTAATAAATTAAATTAATTCAATGTTGTTTGATTAACCTTTAAAATCTCACTCAAATAAACAGGAACTTTGTGCTTAAACATTAAATTTCCAATTATCCCTAACAAAGTCATCAAAATAATTGGATTTAAAAAAATACTTTTCATTACAGAAACAGTTAATTTAAATTTTTTCCTATTCTCAACCGATAATAACAAACCCGTTTCACCATTACTTTCACTATTAATACTAACAGGAGATAATTCCCCATAATTCCTTCGTTTATGAATTTCCATCAAAACAAATCCAATCGGGTTTAAAATCGCCAAACTAATCGGGGCCATCAAATACAAATAAGAAGCATACTCGGGATGAGATAAACCATAAAGTGCAACCACTGAAACCAAATAAAACACCAAATTAACTCAATTACAACAATAATTTTCGTTTTAATTCACCGATTGGATACCCGATAGCGAAATCATTACTTTGCGTACAAAAAATAGCGAAAATACCAGCTCTTCCAAAATTAAGAGGTCTACTAATTAATAAAGTTACGATAATCACAGCAAAAAATACGATTCCTTTTGAAATTAAGACACTTAGTAGAAAGAGCCAATTCACCGACGTTAAATCTAGCTCGGCGAGGGACATAAAAATCAATGATGGCAAAGCGAACGTCCCCACGAATGTATTAATCCCTTTCGCTTCAGTTTCCGATATCAAATTCATCCTACCAGCTAAATACCTAAAATTAAGAATGAATTAGATTTAGGAAAATAAGTGAGGTTAGATTTACCCGCAAGATATTATAACGAAACATTGCGTTAAAGCCGGGTATAAATTGTCGATTTCGGCCCCACTTTCCGACATTGTTGTTTAATTTGTTATAATATTGGACTTTAAACACTAAAAAATTAATTAATTAATAAAATAAGATTGACAGAGAACTTAACCTACAAATTAATCAAGGATTTTCATTGTTGGTCTAAATCACTTTTAATACTTATTATTATTATCTTTTATCGTTTAATTATTATCGATACGTGCCATATTGACGATTTTTTTTGCTCTATTTACTTTGCAAGTAATGAATAAGCTATTTTTTTTCGGTTTGTTATGAAATCGGAGGTTATGAAAGATTTTTAGCGCCATCTATTGATGGGTGATTTAATTTAGGGTTTGTAGGAAATTTTTAATTAATTAATTATAATCGGTGATTTTTAACGTAAATTTCGTGATTAATAACAAATTATTTGGGAAAATTTAATTATTTATGCTTTTAAAATGAAATAATTTGAAGTTTATTGAAAAATATATTAAGATGAGGGCGCCATCTTTTGATTGTATTTAAAGTTATAATTAAATTTTATTTATTATTAATTAAGTAATATTGTTAATTATTGCAATAAATTTGGTGATTAATTATTTGTGAAAATATAATTAATTGTGTTTTTAAAATGAAATAATTTAAAGTTTATTAAAAATTTTTTAAGTGTTAAGCGCCATCTTTTAATTGTATTTGAAGTTTTATTTAACATTAATTTATTATTAATTACGTAATATTGTTAATTTTTGCAATAAGTTTGGTGATTACTAACAAATTATTTGTGAAAATTGAATTATTTGCGTTTTTAAAATGAGATAATTTGAGGTTTATTGTAAAATTTTTAAATGGTGAACAGCGCCATCTCTTGATTGTATTTGAAGTTATATTTAACATTAATTTATTATTAATTAAGTAATATTGTTAATTTTTGCAATAAATTCGGAGATTAATAACGAATTATTCGTGAAAATTTAATTATTTGTGTTTTTAAAATGAGATAAGTTAAAGTTTATTAAAAAAATTTAAGTGTTAAGCTCCATCTTTTGATTCTATTTGTAGTTAGTTATATTTAACATTAATTTATTATTAATTAAGTAATATAGTTAATTCTTGAGACAAATTTGGTGATTAATAACAAATTATTTATGAAAATGTAATTATTTGTGTTTTAAAATAAGATAATTTAAAGTTTATTAAAAAAATTTTAAGTGTAATAATTTAAGCGCCATCTTTTGATTTGATTCAAAATTATATTTACAACTAATTAATTATTAATTAATTAATATTGTTAATTTTTGGGATAAATTTGGTGATTAATAACAAATTATTTGCGAAAATTTAATTATTTGTGTTTTTAAAACGAGATAATTTGAAGTTTATTGCAAAATTTTTAATTGGTGAGCGACGCCATCTTTCGATTATATTTGAAGTTATATTTAACATTAATTTATTATTAATTAAGTAATATAGTTAATTCTTGAGATAAATTTGGTGATTAATAACAAATTATTTATGAAAATCTAATTATTTGTATTTTTAAAATGAGATAATTAAAGTTTATTAAAAAAATTTTAAGTGTAATAAATTAAGCGCCATCTTTTGATTTGATTCAAAATTATATTTACAACTAATTAATTATTAATTAATTAATATTGTTAAATTTTGGGATAAATTCGATGATTAAAAACAATTTTGTCATGAAAATTTAATAAATAACTTTTAATATTGTTTTTAAAAGGCGATAATCAATCAATCTTCGTTGACATTTCGACGTCGACACCTGCCCAATTTAAAAGCAGGATGCTCCCAAAACCCTAAAATTGCCATTTTATTATCTAAAGAACGACATATCAGGGATTCCCAAACAAAAAAAGGTATAAATGTGAGTGTGATTTTAATAAATAAGGTTGGGGGAAATAATTGTTTTGGCACCACTGCGATTTTAGGTTATAATCACGTTTGGCCTCGAAACTAGGCCGAACCGGAGGCGAAATCATAGACGGGACACCTATCCAGGTCTAAATATCCATAATTTCGGGGCTTCGCTGGACATTTTGGTGCCTCCTGTGGCGAAAAGGGCGTGTCACGTTGGCAATGTGTGTTTTGGTAATAACAGGTCCTGCCAACCGTAGTTTACGACTTCCCCGGGCAGTTGGTACAACACGAAACGAGAAGGTCACTCAAAACCTTTTTTTTATCCTAATAATCGTTTTTTTATTACTATTTAATTTTAAACCAACAATAATTATTGAAATAAATTTTTGTGTGTGGTAAAAATCATAAAAATGTTCCGAGGAAAACGAAGACGAAGAGATATCGATGGGGTTTCAGGTGGAATTGGTGGCCGGGGGGCAACCGAAGACCCCCCAGATCGTGCCCGGGGCCCTCCGAAGGCCGTCATTACGACAGCTCCTCCTCCCAAGCGCGATCACCTTGTTAGGGACGACACCCATCATCATTTTCGTTACCGTACCTATTATAAGCGATGAGCCCCTCGGGGCGATCGCCCGGAACCTCACCGACAACAAGATCAAAACAACTATGTATATCCTTTTTAAAAAAAATTTAAATTAGAATTCAAAAATCGAAAAATAGACGAAAAAACCTTCAAAACGAACCCAAACTCGATGGGGTTATCTCAAAAAACACGCGAGATAAACCGATTTAAAAAAAAATTTGACACCCGATTCTCGATTGTTTCAAAAACGATTTTTTTTAAATATCTCGGTTATTTTTTAAGATAACCCCCTCGAGTTTGGACTCATTTTAAAGCACTTTTAATAACCTACAAAAAAAAATTAATAAATTATTAAAAAAAATTAACCTAAAATAAAACCAAAAAAAATTAATTTTTTTCTTGCTTGTAGCGGCGCCAGTGATGGAATATTTGGGATTCCGAAGACGTCGTCGTAGCGATGGTATGTAGAGACGAAGAAGGAGGACGAAGGACGGATTGAAGAAGGAAAAGTTGAAGAAGAAGATGAGAACGAAGAAGAGGGCTCGGAGGCTCGTATAATATAATTAATGATTAGCCCGGGACGGTTTACGAGTTAGAACAGGTCACTTCCAACGCTTAAAAACGTGTCGATCGGGCCGATATGATGCGCTATCTTTTGGTGGAATTAACCGAAACCGTTTTCTCTCCTCTTTAAAATGAACCGACTCGGAAAAGACCCATATTTATGTCTTTCGGGTTGAAATGGGAAAAAAGGTAAGGCGGTTCACACCGATAAAATAAATTAAAATCGATAAAGGGAATAATAATGTTATGGGAAAATATTTTTAATAATTAGTAATTTTAATAAATGTTTAAAATCTACGTTAAAAATCCTTCAAAATGAGCCCAAACTCGATATATTTATTTTCAAAAACAACCGAGATATGGGTGATTAAAAATAAATTTGACAGGCGATTTTCGATTGTTTCCAATGATTTTTTTGAATATCTCGGTTGTTTTTTGAGATAATCTAGTCGTGTTTGGGCTCGTTTTAATCGATTTTTAATGGGGATTACGAATTTTTAATCAATTCTAACCTAAAATTTCAACAAGTTTTTTTTTTGATACGTTATTTGTTTTCAATAAATAAGTGTGAAAGATCGGGGGACTCAAAAAATGTATTAAAACTTAAAAATTTTCTCTAAAAAAATTTAATTTTTCGATTTTCAAAAAAATTTTTAATAACAAATTGTACTGATTAATAAATATTTAAAATCTACGTTAAAAATCCTTCAAAATGAGCCCAAACTCGATATATTTATTTTCAAAAACAACCGAGATATAGATGATTAAAAATAAATTTGACAGGCGATTTTCGATTGTTTCCAATGATTTTTTTGAATATCTCGGTTGATTTTTGAGATAATCTAGTCGTGTTTGGGCTCGTTTTAATCGATTTTTAATGTAGATTACGAATTTTTAATCAATTCTAACCTAAAATTTCAACAACACATCTTTTATGATAACTTATTTATTTTGAATAAATAAAAGTGCGATTTTCCGATTAAAAACGACCGGGGGACTCAAAAAATATATTTAAACTTAAAAATGTTTATTAAAAAAATTTTAATATTCGATTTCCAAAAAATTTTGTAATAATAAATTGTACTAATTAATAAATATTTAAAATCTATGTTAAAAATCCTTCAAAATGAGCCCAAACTCGATATATTTATTTTCAAAAACAACCGAGATATGAGTGATTAAAAATAAATTTGACAGGCGATTTTCGATTGTTTCCAATGATGTTTTTTGAATATCTCGGTTGTTTTTTAAGATAACCTGGTCGTGTTTGGACTCGTTTTAACCGATTTTCAATGAGGATTACGAATTTTCAATCAATTTTAACCTAAAATTTCAATTATTATTTTTTTTATGATAATTTATTTATTTTGAAAAAATAAAAGTGCGATTTTTCGATTAATAAAGACTGAGGGACACAAAAAATGTATTAAAACTTAAAAATTTTCATTAAAAAAAATTTAAATATTCAATTTAAAAAATTTTTTTTAATAACATTTCGTATTAATTAATAAATATTTAAAATCTACGTTAAAAATCCTTCAAAATGAGCCCAAACTCGATATATTTATTTTCAAAAACAACCGAGATATGAGTGATTAAAAAATAATTTGACAGGCGATTTTCGATTGTTTCAAATTATCTTTTTTTAAATATCTCGGTTGTTTATTAAGATAACCTAGTCGTGTTTGGGCTCATTTTAACCGATTTTTAATGAGGATCACGATTTTTTAATCAATTCTAACCTAAAATTTCAACAACTAATTTTTTTTTATGCTAACTCATTTATTTTGAATAAATAAAGCGCGATTTTCTGATTAAAAAGGACCGGGGTACTCAAAAAATATATTAACTTAAAAATTTTCATTAAAAATAATTATTCGGTTTCCAAAAAAAATTTTAATAACAAATTGTATTAATAATTAATAAATATTTAAAATCTACGTTAAAAATCCTTCAAAATGAGCCCAAACTCGATACATTTATTTTCAAAAACAACCGAGATATGAGTGATTAAAAATAAATTTGACAGGCGATTTTCGATTGTTTCCAATGATGTTTTTTTAATATCTCGGTTGTTTTTTGAGATAACCTAGTCGTGTTTGGGCTCGTTTTAATCGATTTTTAATGTAGATTACGAATTTTTAATCAAATCTAACCTAAAATTAAATAACTAATTTTTATATGATAATTTATTCATTTTGAATAAATAAAAGCGCGATTTCCCTATTAAAAAAGACTGGGGGATTCAAAAAGTATAATAAAATTTAAAAATTTTCATTAAAAAAAATTTTAATATTCGATTTCCAAAATTTTTTTTAACAACAAATTGTATTAATTAATATATATTTAAAATCTACGTTAAAAATCCTTCAAAATAAGCCCAAACTCGATATATTTATTTTCAAAAACAACCGAGATATGAGTGATTAAAAATAAATTTGACAGGCGATTTTCGATTGTTTCCAATGCTGTTTTTTTAATATCTCGGTTGTTTTTTGAGATAACCTAGTCGTATTTGGGCTCGTTTTAATCGATTTTTAATGTAGATTACGAATTTTTAATCAAATCTAACCTAAAATTTCAATAACTAATTTTTATATGATAATTTATTCATTTTGAATAAATAAAAGCGCGATTTCCCTATTAAAAAAGACTGGGGGACTCAAAAAATGTATTAAAACTTAAAAATTTTCTTTAAAAAAAATTTTAATATTCGATTAAAAAAATTTTTTTAATAACAAATCGTATTAATTAATAAATATTTAAAATCTACGTTAAAAATCCTTCAAAATGAGCCCAAACTCGATATATTTATTTTCAAAAACAACCGAGATATGAGTGATTAAAAATAAATTTGACAGGCGATTTTCGATTGTTTCCAATGCTGTTTTTTTAATATCTCGGTTGTTTTTTGAGATAACCTAGTCGTATTTGGGCTCGTTTTAATCGATTTTTAATGTAGATTACGAATTTTTAATCAAATCTAACCTAAAATTTCAATAACTAATTTTTATATGATAATTTATTCATTTTGAATAAATAAAAGCGCGATTTCCCTATTAAAAAAGACTGGGGGACTCAAAAAATGTATTAAAACTTAAAAATTTTCTTTAAAAAAAATTTTAATATTCGATTAAAAAAATTTTTTTAATAACAAATCGTATTAATTAATAAATATTTAAAATCTACGTTAAAAATCCTTCAAAATGAGCCCAAACTCGATATATTTATTTTCAAAAACAACCGAGATATGAGTGATTAAAAATAAATTTGACAGGCGATTTTCGATTGTTTCCAATAATGTTTTTTTGAATATCTCGGTTGTTTTTTGAGATAACCTAGTCGTGTTTGGGCTCATTTTAATCGATTTTTAATGTAGATTACGAATTTTTAATCAAATCCAACCTTTAATTTGAACAATTACCGTTAATCGACATTAATAATGGTTGTAATAACCCCATTAAACATAAATACTCCCCAGTATGCAGCGGATAAGGCAGAAGTGAATTTAAAAGATTAGAATAACTTATTTGAATGCCCATTAACTAAATATTTCCGAGCATATTCTGAATGTTTGGTTCACTGCTACTCTACACTTTACATGGATACAAAAACTAAGATAAACCAAAAATAGAAAATGAGTTATTATAGTTGAATTCTTAGAGTCAACATTACTAAATAAAAGTCGAAAAATCATTAAAAACTCACCACCAGCTGTCACCACGTGACCGAAAACTCCACCATTATTTTTAAAGTGATAGGGGGGTCCTCATCACCCGCTGTGCTTTTGTTTCCTTACTTGGTTGAAACAAAAGATACAGGTAGGCGCTTTTTAACATTTTTTTTATTAATTCCCTTCCTTTTCGATGCTTAACATTGATCCTTTCTACGATGAGTTATGATGGCGGCCGAAAAGAAATCAAAAATCGCAATTTTTTCATCAAACGTCGATGTTTTTCTTGCGGTTTAATCTCCTTAATGGTATTGCCACCCCAACGTCTTTTTTGTGTAACACGCCACTGGACCTTGGGGACTATTCGGGAATAAACTTTTAATCCCCTATAAAAAGAAAATTAATGAATTGAACTTTTGATCGTCATTGTATATTGATTTTTTTTTGATATAAAGAAGTAGTTGTAAAATAAATCGTTATAAAGCGTGTAAACGTCGAGATTTTGCCGTGTGATATATGGCGTTTTCACGCTTTAAGCGCCACCTACGGGCGCGGACAAAAGCGGGCACCGTTTCATGCAAATTTCGCGTTTTAACGACTTTCCAGGTCGTTAAAAGAAATCTCAAAATGATTTAAAAAACATTTTTGGTATGATTGAGGTTAGGTCGGGTTGATTTTTTTTGTCGTCGAAGGGACCTAGACGCGCAGATTCCCGAAATTTCGTACAGAATACCTGAAAGTCGTACTACAGACGTCCGAAGACGTGAGGTCATAAATAACGTCCGAAAATGTAGACTTTACGGGGGCCGAACGACGGTGGCGCCATCCGCAGGACCCGGACAGGTACCGCCTTCCTGCGCCCCCCATTATCATAACTATGCCCGGGTTATTTATTTTTATTTGTCTTCTTTTTCTTCTCGTTTAAAACGAACACAAAAAAATAAAACAAAAATAAAAACAAAAATGTAGTGAGTAAAATCACTCATTTATACATTATTTTTTCTTTAAATACGAAAAGAAGAAAAAAACGAAATTAATAACGATCTGACAAATGACTGCATAGATATTGCGCATTAACCGCTCAATTTAGACGCGGACCAAGGAGAAGGAGGGGAAGAGAGGGCCAGTGGTCACGGTCACCTTTGACCGTTGGCTCCGTGGTGGGTCCGATAATTAATCCTCCTTAAATTACGCTTCCCAGTCGGCCGTTTATTCGTTTAAAATAAAAAAAAATTAACTTTAAAAAATTTTGAGTTAAAATTTTAGGTTAGAATTGATTGAAATGTAAAAAATCGTAATCTACGTGAAAAATCCGTCAAAACGAGCCCAAACACGACCAAGTTATCTCAAAAAACAACCGAGATATTCAAAAAACATTATTGGAAACAATCGAAAATCGCCTGTCAAATTTATTTTTAATCACCCATATCTCGGTTGTTTTTGAAAATAAATATATCGAGTTTGGGCTCATTTTGAAGGATTTTTAACGTAGATTTTAAATATTTATTAATTAACACAAATCGTCGATCAGCTGTCAATTTTTTCTTAAAAATACTGATATCTCGGTTAATTTTTGAAATAAACACATCGTGTTTGGGTTTATATTAAATAAATCGCGATTTTGAGCAGAAATGAGGCTAAAATCGTTGCGCAAATTTGACAGATACACACACGGTTCGAATTCCGTTATGTTTCCCCAGCTTTCACCGCTCGAAGGGTAACTAGGGGGTGGTTGGTCGGAGAGGCAATAATAACAACGATTCGATTTCGACGATTGAACAACTGTCGTCCGAAACGGAGAATGCCACGTAGCGGCAATCGGTTAAACGACGCGTGACCCATGTTGGCAAACAATGGATTAGCACCGTTGACGCCGACGACGCCACGGATGCCATTGTAAACGGACGACAATACGCGAAACCGGACAAACCAAACAGCAGGACCAAAACGACGATTAATGACCATTCGAAATGGATTATTTAGATTAGAGATGAGCGTAATTAACAAATTGAAAAGATTCGATTTTATTGAGTTGGTATTATTTCGAGTTGTTCTTGTTGTAGCGAGATGGTGGGTTTTGCGTGAGGGCTCTGGTTTGGCCGTTCATCATATTATCTAATTGGCCTCGCCGGTGCCGACAAAGACGCCGCCCCGCGTTCGCCTCGGCAACTAGCACCCGGCCCGGTGCGCGCACGTAAATCCGCCGGCCCCGTTAATCGGCTGATAAACGACGATCGCCCGGTTTAATTGCTCTCTGTTTTATCGGCGACTCGCTCGGTTCGGACCTCTTTGATCCGCACCGTAATGACCGGAAGGAGCCTAAGAAACCTAAGAACGGCGTTAACGAAACTAAAAAACAAAAAAGAAATATCGAAAAATCAAAAATTTCAAGAACGTCAAAACGGCTGTCAGTGTGACGATATGATTTCGAGCGTAGCAGAAGATTATATCCGTAATGTTGTGCCGAAATTACAAAAACCCGCGCCTTTCTTTAAAGGTCAAGCTTTGGTGAAAGGTGAGTTCAAAGATATCTCACTCGATCTCTACAAAGGACGTTATTTGGTGTTGTTTTTTTACCCGATGGATTTTACCTTTGTTTGTCCGACGGAGATAATCGCATTTAGCGACCGCATTGCCGATTTTGAAGCTTTGTACACGGACGTGATAGGTTGCAGCACGGACAGTGTGTATTCCCATTTTGCTTGGTGTCAGCAGCCGCGGAAAGAAGGTGGATTGGGCGACATGAAGATCCCGCTATTAGCCGACAAAAATATGCAAATAAGCAGGGATTATGGCGTTTTGGACGAGGATACCGGAATTGCGTTTCGCGGCCTTTTCATTATCGATAAAAGAGCCCATTTGAGGCAAATTATCGTAAACGATTTGCCGATTGGGAGAGACGTGGACGAAGTTTTACGGTTAGTACAAGCGATTAAGTTCACCGATGAAAATGGGGAGGTTTGCCCCGTTAATTGGAAACCGGGCGCTAAAACTCTTCAACCGACAGCCGATGGACTCAAAAAATTTGTTAATACTTAATTAAAATATTCATAAAATTAATTTGATGATTAAAGTGCTTGATTTATAAAAAAATTATTAATTATTTGTGTTGATTCATAAATATTTGAAATCTACGTTAAAAATCCTACAAAATGAGCCCAAACTCGATATATTTATTTTCAAAAACACCCCAGATATGAGCGTTTAAAAAATAATTTGACAGGCGATTTTCGATTGTTTTCAAAATTTTTTTTGAATATCTCCGTTGTTTTTTAAGGTAACCTAGTCGTGTTTGGGCTCGTTTTAATCGATTTTCAATGAGGATTACGAATTTTTAATCAATTTTAACCTAAAATTTCAATTATTATTTTTTTTATGATAATTTATTTATTTTGAATAAATAAAAGTGCGATTTTTCGATTAATAAAGACTGAGGGACACAAGAAATATATTCAAACTTAAAAATTTTAATATTTATTTAAAAAAAAAAATTTTAACAACAATTCATATTAATTAATAAATATTTAAAATCTACGTTAAAAATCCTTCAAAATGAACCCAAACTCGATATATTTATTTCTAAAGACAACCGAGATATGAGTGATTAAAAGGAAATTTGACAGGCGATTTTCGATTGTTTCTATATTGAAATCTACACCCTGCGCAACCTCAACAGCTTAAAATTTGTATTAAAGTGCATTAATTTTTGTTTTTTTTAATATATGAACCATTGCCTCAGCAGCAAAGCTGCCTCGGCCTCTAAATAATGCTTCTATATTGAAATCTGTACCCTCCGCAACCTTAGTAGCATATAATTTGTATTAAAAAAGTATTAATCTTTGTTTTTTTTAATATATGANAAAACATCATTGGAAACAATCGAAAATCGCCTGTCAAATTTATTTTTAATCACTCATATCTCGGTTGTTTTTGAAAATAAATATATCGAGTTTGGGCTCATTTTGAAGGATTTTTAACGTAGATTTTCAATATTTATTAATTAATACGAATTGTTATTAAAAATTTTTTTGAAAATCAAATATTTAAATTTTTTTTAATGAAAATTTTTAAATTTTGATATGTTTTTTGAGTCCCTCAGTCTTTATTAATCGAAAAATCGCGCTTTTATTTATTCAACATAAATAAGTTATCATAAAAAATGTGTTGTAGAAATTTTAGGTTAAAATTGATTAAAAATTCGTAATCCCCATTCAAAATCGATTAAAACGAGCCCAAACACGACTTGGTTATCTCAAAAAACAACCGAGATATTCAAAAAACATTATTGGAAACAATCGAAAATCGCCTGTCAAATTTATTTTTAATCACTCATATCTCGGTTGTTTTTAGAAATAAATATATCGAGTTTGGGCTCATTTTAAAGGATTTTTAACGTAGATTTTAAATATTTATTAATTAACACAAATCGTCGATCAGCTGTCAATTTTTTCTTAAAAATACTGATATCTCGGTTAATTTTTGAAATAAACACATCGTGTTTGGGTTTATATTAAATAAATCGCGATTTTGAGCAGAAATGAGGCTAAAATCGTTGCGCAAATTTGACAGATACACACACGGTTCGAATTCCGTTATGTTTCCCCAGCTTTCACCGCTCGAAGGGTAACTAGGGGGTGGTTGGTCGGAGAGGCAATAATAACAACGATTCGATTTCGACGATTGAACAACTGTCGTCCGAAACGGAGAATGCCACGTAGCGGCAATCGGTTAAACGACGCGTGACCCATGTTGGCAAACAATGGATTAGCACCGTTGACGCCGACGACGCCACGGATGCCATTGTAAACGGACGACAATACGCGAAACCGGACAAACCAAACAGCAGGACCAAAACGACGATTAATGACCATTCGAAATGGATTATTTAGATTAGAGATGAGCGTAATTAACAAATTGAAAAGATTCGATTTTATTGAGTTGGTATTATTTCGAGTTGTTCTTGTTGTAGCGAGATGGTGGGTTTTGCGTGAGGGCTCTGGTTTGGCCGTTCATCATATTATCTAATTGGCCTCGCCGGTGCCGACAAAGACGCCGCCCCGCGTTCGCCTCGGCAACTAGCACCCGGCCCGGTGCGCGCACGTAAATCCGCCGGCCCCGTTAATCGGCTGATAAACGACGATCGCCCGGTTTAATTGCTCTCTGTTTTATCGGCGACTCGCTCGGTTCGGACCTCTTTGATCCGCACCGTAATGACCGGAAGGAGCCTAAGAAACCTAAGAACGGCGTTAACGAAACTAAAAAACAAAAAAGAAATATCGAAAAATCAAAAATTTCAAGAACGTCAAAACGGCTGTCAGTGTGACGATATGATTTCGAGCGTAGCAGAAGATTATATCCGTAATGTTGTGCCGAAATTACAAAAACCCGCGCCTTTCTTTAAAGGTCAAGCTTTGGTGAAAGGTGAGTTCAAAGATATCTCACTCGATCTCTACAAAGGACGTTATTTGGTGTTGTTTTTTTACCCGATGGATTTTACCTTTGTTTGTCCGACGGAGATAATCGCATTTAGCGACCGCATTGCCGATTTTGAAGCTTTGTACACGGACGTGATAGGTTGCAGCACGGACAGTGTGTATTCCCATTTTGCTTGGTGTCAGCAGCCGCGGAAAGAAGGTGGATTGGGCGACATGAAGATCCCGCTATTAGCCGACAAAAATATGCAAATAAGCAGGGATTATGGCGTTTTGGACGAGGATACCGGAATTGCGTTTCGCGGCCTTTTCATTATCGATAAAAGAGCCCATTTGAGGCAAATTATCGTAAACGATTTGCCGATTGGGAGAGACGTGGACGAAGTTTTACGGTTAGTACAAGCGATTAAGTTCACCGATGAAAATGGGGAGGTTTGCCCCGTTAATTGGAAACCGGGCGCTAAAACTCTTCAACCGACAGCCGATGGACTCAAAAAATTTGTTAATACTTAATTAAAATATTCATAAAATTAATTTGATGATTAAAGTGCTTGATTTATAAAAAAATTATTAATTATTTGTGTTGATTCATAAATATTTGAAATCTACGTTAAAAATCCTACAAAATGAGCCCAAACTCGATATATTTATTTTCAAAAACACCCCAGATATGAGCGTTTAAAAAATAATTTGACAGGCGATTTTCGATTGTTTTCAAAATTTTTTTTGAATATCTCCGTTGTTTTTTAAGGTAACCTAGTCGTGTTTGGGCTCGTTTTAATCGATTTTCAATGAGGATTACGAATTTTTAATCAATTTTAACCTAAAATTTCAATTATTATTTTTTTTATGATAATTTATTTATTTTGAATAAATAAAAGTGCGATTTTTCGATTAATAAAGACTGAGGGACACAAGAAATATATTCAAACTTAAAAATTTTAATATTTATTTAAAAAAAAAAATTTTAACAACAATTCATATTAATTAATAAATATTTAAAATCTACGTTAAAAATCCTTCAAAATGAACCCAAACTCGATATATTTATTTCTAAAGACAACCGAGATATGAGTGATTAAAAGGAAATTTGACAGGCGATTTTCGATTGTTTCTATATTGAAATCTACACCCTGCGCAACCTCAACAGCTTAAAATTTGTATTAAAGTGCATTAATTTTTGTTTTTTTTAATATATGAACCATTGCCTCAGCAGCAAAGCTGCCTCGGCCTCTAAATAATGCTTCTATATTGAAATCTGTACCCTCCGCAACCTTAGTAGCATATAATTTGTATTAAAAAAGTATTAATCTTTGTTTTTTTTAATATATGAACCACTGCCTCAGCAGCAAAGCTGCCTCGGCAATAAAATAATATGTTTAAATTGAAATCTACACTCTCCACAACCTTAGTAGCATAAAATTTGTATTAAACAAGTACTAATCTTTGTTTTTTTTAATATATAAACCACTGCCTCAGCAGCAAAGCTGCCTCGGCAACTAAATAATGCATCTATATTGAAATCTGCTCCCTCCGCAACCTAAGTAGCATAAAATTTGTATTAAAAAAGTATTAATCTTTATTTTTTTTTAATATATGAACCACTGCCTCAGCAACAAAGTTGCCTCGGCAACTAAATAATGTGTTTAAATTGAAATCTACACCCTGCGCAACCTCAACAGCTTAAAATTTGTATTAAAGTGCATTAATTTTTGTTTTTTTTAATATATGAACCATTGCCTCAGCAGCAAAGCTGCCTCGGCCTCTAAATAATGCTTCTATATTGAAATCTGTACCCTCCGCAACCTTAGTAGCATATAATTTGTATTAAAAAAGTATTAATCTTTGTTTTTTTTGATATATGAACCACTGCCTCAGCAGCAAAGCTGCCTCGGCAATAAAATAATATGTTTAAATTGAAATCTACACTCTCCGCAACCTTAGTAGCATAAAATTTGTATTAAAAAAGTATTAATCTTTGTTTTTTTTTTAATATATAAACCACTGCCTCAGCAGCAAAGCTGCCTCGGCAACTAAATAATGCATCTATATTGAAATCTGCTCCCTCCACAACCTTAGTAGCATAAAATTTGTATTAAAAAAGTATTAATCTTTGTTTTTTTTTAATATATGAACCACTGCCTCAGCAGCAAAGCTGCCTCGGTAATAAAATAATATGTTTAAATTGAAATCTATACTCTCCACAACCTTAGTAGCATAAAATTTGTATTAAAAAAGTATTAATCTTAATTTTTTTTTAATATATGAACCACTGCCTCAGCAGCAAAGCTGCCTCGGCAATAAAATAATATGTTTAAATTGAAATCTACACTCTCCACAACCTTAGTAGCATAAAATTTGTATTAAAAAAGTATTAATCTTTGTTTTTTTTTAATATATAAACCACTGCCTCAGCAGCAAAGCTGCCTCGGCAACTAAATAATGCATCTATATTGAAATCTGCTCCCTCCGCAACCTTAGTAGTATAAAATTTGTATTAAAAAAGTATTAATCTTTGTTTTTTTTTAATATATGAACCACTGCCTCAGCAGCAAAGCTGCCTCGGCAATAAAATATTATGTTTAAATTGAAATCTACACTCTCCACAACCTTAGTAGCATAAAATTTGTATTAAAAAAGTATAAATCTTTG